ATTTTTTCAAACCCTAAATATAGTATCGATTCTAATGCACCGGTTATTCAAATTTTGTAAAACAATTATTCTCTTCAATAATTTATATCCAAATAACAAACAATTTTTACACAAATTTCTATTCAATGTAAATACTCTGTATAATTGAAAACTGTTGTAAAACAAAACAAATCATAAATAATTAAGAAAAGATTTTTGATATAAATTTCACAAAACAAGTAATAAAAATGAATGTTTAGATTACAAGTAAGAAAACAAATAGAAAAGTTTGCTTAAGCACTAGAAAAAGTAAAACAAATTGGGATTCATGAAAGTCAGTCATCAAATTCAAATCAAACACTTTTTGAACAATTCATAAAAATATTTTCTCTCATTTTGATTTGATTCGTGTTTTTATAAAAATTAGTCAATACTTTGTGTTTAAAAGTAATTAGAAAACATTGCTTAGTTAATCAAAACCGAGATTACATTTTCTCAATGAAAGTCACATTTGATTTTCAAGTCGTGTGTCATTTTACAGGGAATTATATTTTTTGTTGTAAACATAGAAAACGGATCACAGTTTCAAATGTCTTTTTTCGCTCAACCAATCAATTTTAGCGTTGATTTTATGTACAAAATATATATAACTTTACTTTTAAGTATTTGTACAGAAAAAAGTTCATAATTAGGCAAAAATACAAATAGCTTAAAGTTAAGCATTATTTTTGAGTTAAACGCAATTTTAAAAACCATTGCCTCAAAGGAATCCACATTTTGATCGCTTTTGGGGAAACAATACACATATTTGGGGCAAAACTAAGTTTTGTGGACACAAAAGGGTTGATTTGTTGAACAAATCTCATGAAAAAAATATCAAACGTGTTAATTGTATGCACAGATTAGGTGTTTAGGTGATTAGGTCCAGTGCGGCAATGGTTTTGGATTACAGATATCGAGAAAAAATTGCATAAAATATACTTATCATGAAAAAACAAATTCAAAGCAAAATCACTGTATAATTGAATGAATTGATTGAAGAAATAAGTTTTTGTGCATTCGTTAGATCAGTAAAAATATGTCAATAGTTTGCGAGAATTCGTCGAGAAATTCATGTAATAAATAAATTATATCATAAAATTAAATCTCATTCAGAGATTAAGTATAGAATTGGAATATTTGTCTATTCATTCAAACATTTACGAAAATACTAATTGAAAGTCTTGAACAATACATTTTTAAAAATAAATAATAAAAACTCAAAATTCAAATACTGTTCACAAAAATAGATTTTCAAACAAAAAGAACTCAAAATAATTATGCATTCAATTGAAGTGCAAATATAAATACTGTATATATATATATATATTATTTCCATAAAGAAAAGCTATTAAATTAATTGGAAACAAGAATTAATAAAAAAAATATTCACAAAACGACTAATATTTACAATTAGTTGTCAGTAAACCAAAATTGAATTCAAAATAAAATCGACTCAAAAAACAATGAAATAATTGGCACTAAAATTCGTAATCATTTTGGTTCTCTTAACTTTCAATTAGTTTTTCAGTCATAAAAACAATTTCATTTTCAAATTCATAAATATAATTATCTCTTATATTAAATGCTAACAAAATGGTTGCATAAAAAAATTGAAAAACTAAATATACTTATTATAATTCATAGATTCTAATCATAGGGTCAATTGAAATATAAGCTTAAATTTGAAATAATAATCATTAGATTAATAAATAAACCAAATGACAATTTGGTTGACGTTTAAAACATACAATTAGAAATTGGCACTCAATCAGAAAAATGGCTCATTTGTGGTGATGTATGGACGCGGGGGTGTCATCAGTGGTCACCGCGAAGTAATTCCATTAATAAGTTGAATGACGGGACGTCCCCTTCCTTTTGTTTGGAGACCAGAGACTCTTTGCCCACTTGCGAGGTTCGCTCCAAATCGGGAATCCGGAGCAATAGTTCCCCAAACTTTGACGGCTGACTCGGATAATGAGTTCTCGTGTACGTCTGCAACGCCTCCAACACCTGCTTCTGACACGACCGCACTTTATCCGACTCTTTGAGACCACTGGCGTCTGGATATCGATTCAAACAATACAATCAATACACTGAAAGTGTTCATACAATAGTCTATCAGTACCTGAAGTGAGAAGAATAATCACTTTAAGACAGCAGTACTCGTATTGATCGAACTGAAGGCGCCTCAAGTGTTCGGTGAGGTTCAGCATTCTCTCGATGACAGTCCCTAACCCTAATTGCTGTGACTGTTCTAATGTCACTGATTTGCCACTCGACAACCGGATCTCATTGGGGGTCGATATGGATCGGTAACAACAACTCAATAGTAAGAGTTCGCACCACGAGTTGATCAGTAGCGCGATCTGATCGTCCATCTGATCCGCAATACAAATATAGTCATAATTAGCTACCAATTGGTTTAAATCATTTATCAATGCAAACCTGTATTTCTCTAAAAAGTGGTAAACTTTTACACCATTTGACTATTTTGTAGAGTCTATGGTCGGCTATATTACACAAATCACTCGAATCCTGACTAATACTTAAGTTCCTATCACTGGGCTCTCCATTAAAGCCTAAACTATCGCTCTCTTTGTCCGCGTTGTGCCACAAGTGCTCGACGGACAGTATGTCTTGAATGAGCCGAGGAATGGGTTCTGTCGACGACATGTCCGACGTGTCCATTGAGTCCACTTCTGGTTCGCGTTTAGACAATGAGTTCATTCGGAACTGAGATTCGTTGTGAACTATATTTGTCTGCTGTTCCGGTTGACCGGCCATTGCGGACACCATTTCGGGCAAACGATTCTCAGATATCGATTGAGGGGACAGTGTGTAAGAGCACTGGTATGTACTGCGACC